TACATCTACCTCCAAGTTGTAAATGATATGTATTAATGTTATATCAAACAACAAGAACGCACTTTTCATAGAAAATAATGATTAAATTGAGGTTTCCTGCCTTAAATCATGATTTAAATTGATTTGATTTAAATCAAATCCACTCTGGAACTAAAACCTGCAAGTCTGAAACTTTAGGAAAAAAAGGAAGGGAATTTCAGATCTAAAAATGTGCTTTTTTTTTTAAAACCACACCCAAATATTTGCAATTCAGTTATTCCTAGAGCAACCTTTCTACCCTAACTACAGATTCAGACTGATGCCTCAATCCGAGCCGCCTTCCAATAAGATCAGGGGAATCAGGACCTAGCAATTTTAAATATTAAAAACACAAGTAGGTTGTGTGTGTTCACATGTATGTACACGCTGCATTTTACAGAAAGCTCAAGACTTTTTTCCCCCCTCATCTAAATAAACAAAGAATTGAAATGTCTTTTGAAGTTACAGTTATATGCCACATTCCATTAAGCCCAGTAGCAAGACAACATTGACCTGGTGGAATTTGTGGGAAAGTTTCTGCACACTGCTTATCTATCTTACGCCACATTGCCAACAATGCTTAAAAGTTAAAACAGTAATGCCATTTTTATAAACTAAACAAAGCTTGGAAGTAGGCAGAAATGCTATTCAGTGAAGTCACATTAATCATAACTTCTTCTACAAGAATTAAACACATTAAAACACCCTCTAATGGAAGTTCTCGCTTAAATGCTCTAACATCAGTGAACCATATGTTTTCATGGGCTGTTCTGACCACCACTTCTCCACATAATGGACTTTCCAACTAATTAATTTCTTCCCTGAAATAAATTCAAGTTAGTAAAGGTTTAAGAGTACAACCTGCAGCATGTGTTTTTCTTCAAGCAGCTTTCAATATAGTAGGAAATGCTAGACAGCTGGTAATGTGATTAAATGGGATTAAGTTTTCCCTTCTTCCATTGACACAGTCTACAGAATTTAATCAGATATTATAGCCTCTAAAACAGGGATGGGCAATTATTTCGGGCAGAAGGCCACTTACTGAGTTTTGGCAAGCCATCGAGGGCTGAATGACAGGCAGCCACGGGCAGATAAATACTAATTTTCTAACTTTTTTAGGGGCCCCACAAGCTGAATAGAATGGCCTGGCGGGCCGCATCTGGCCCACAGGCCACATTTTGCCCACCCCTGCTCTAAAAAATGAGAGGGGTACCTAGCTGTGTGCTAGCCTGAAGTCAGGCAGAAGGCAAGGTAGATTTGCACCTTATCAACTAACTAAATCAGAGGGGCATACATAAGTTTTCCTAAACAGCAGTTTGCTTCATCAGATGCTGTGAAGGGACTGCAAGAAGAGCTTCTAAATAGAAAGCAGTGAAATCACTGTTTAGAAATTCTTCTTCCTGCAGTCTGGTCATAGCCTCTGATGAAGTAAGCTGCTGCTTATGAAAGTTGATGCACCTGTGATTGAATAAGGCTCTAACACAAACACACCCAAAAACATGTTTGCAAATTAATCATGCACTATGGCAATGCACATCACAAAAGACCTAAAATAAAAATACTCAACTCTGCTTAAAATTCTCACTTACTTCATTTACAAACTAACTTTGGTAAAGCACATTTCAGGCACAGTAAGTATAGATTTAAACTTTACCACCTTATGACATAATACAGGGGTGTCAAACTCATACAGCCCTGGCTGTCACGCAAAACGGCCAATCCACAAACCAGATTGGGCCGCTGACCACCAACCCCCACCTGCTGAATCCAGTATCCACTGTATCTGTTTTCTGGGGAATGCATCTCACCAGCCAATCTGGGACATGCACCAAACTGGCACCCATTTGGAGTGGCCAAAATCACAGAGAAACAGGAACGGAAGGAATCTCCAGAAGCCATTTAGTGAAAATCCCCTGCCTCAGGCAGGGTCATCCCTATCCAAACCACAGTATACAAATCCACTCTCCAGACCAGGGGCAGGCAATTATTTCGGGCGGAGGGCCGCTTACTGAGTTGTGGCAAGCCATTGAGGCCTGCATGACAGGCAGCCAGGGACAGATAAATAATAATTTTATAAATTTTTAGGGGTCCCGCAGGCTGGATGGAATGGCCTGGCGGGCCACATCCGGCCCGTGGGCCGCATTTTGCCCACCTCTGCTCTAGACTCTCAACCATACTACAGTGAACCCTGACCCTACACAAGACATAACAATTTAACCTGTCAGAGGTAAAGCAGGGGGACCACAGCAGCCAATGCCCTGCTGTTGTAACAGTTGTTAATATATGCTCAAGAGAGCCAAGGACAAGGGCCGAGGGCCACACCTCCCCACTACAGAGAAAAGCAAAAACCTGCAAAGTCCGTGCCAGTCTCACCATGGGGTAAAATTCCTTCCCGACTCCAAATACAGCAATTGGCTTGACCCTGAGCAGAGGGGCAAGACCCTCTAGCCACAAGCCTTGGCTGCAGCCAAACTCCAATGCTTCCAAGACTTTAAAAAAGAATCCTGACATATGTAGAGGTAAAGGGGAAATTCCCTCCCACCCCATGCAGCAACCAGCGAAGTGCAGAAGCAAAGAAATGGGCACCTCATGCAGCATTTCAGGGCAGGCACCATGTGCAATGCTGTCCTGGACTAGCGAAAACATGTGATGAATGCAGCATGCACACCAGACAGACCAGAGCCTCTGCATCCTGGACCCTGCACACAGGGCTAGTCTGGCATGCACCACATGAGTCAACTATGAGACTGAGGGGCAGCGCTGGGAGTCAAATCAGGGTACTCTGCAAGCCAGATCTGGCCTGCAGGCCATGTCTTTGACACCCCTGACAAAAAGCACAATTAGTAATTGAAGGCAAAAATCTCTATTGATCAGTACATATGCCCACTAGAAATAGTCCAAATTTATTTAATATAGAATTTATTTAATAAGAAAGAGAAAGTTTGTGCTTTTTAGTCAAAGCATAGAAAAATTTCAGTGAGCTCTATTACCCATAAACTCAGCTTTATGAAAATGCACTTAAGCCAGCTACATAAACAATCCTTTACTTCCTGGTTTAATTGCAAAAATGATCATCATGAATAACTTTCTTCTTCAAAACATAAAACAAAAAACTGTCAAGAGTGGGACAATGTCGTTATTTAATAATGAATCACTATTTTCAAAAGCATGAGACATCATTCTCACTAAAACACATTCTGAGCCAGCACAACATCAGAACTCCTACAACATAGAGCAGAGAGACTTTAGTCATGAATTCAGAATACTTTTATATCCCACTACTTCAACAAACCAGCTAACCAGCACACTTAAACTACCACATCTGGACCAAGCAAGCAGGCAATTAAATAAGTTGTTAAGTAGGGAAGCAACATTAAAAGCCATACAGCTTGATGCAGTAATTTATTTGTAGTCCCGTGCCACACTTGTTCATCACTTTTTGAGCTCTGAAGTTCCTCTGAGCTCTGAAATTCCACAGCTTACACTAATCTACCTTATCCTTCAGAGTTCTGTCACTCACATAGACTGCTTACACTACTTATTTAAGAAGCTTCCTAACATACAAAACAGGGCTTCTATAAATGTTTGCTGCATAAAGGTGACAGTTAAATATGCTGGCATAACCATAGCCCAAACAGTTATAAATATATTGCTTTCTTCACAAACAGTTTTCAGTCTCTAACTTCAGTAGGATTACTCATGGGCACAGAAATAGCCAATTAAATATTTGCAGAAAACTTTTCAGGAATAGTTTCCTAAAGCTCATACTTTTGTTTTAAAAAGCAAGACGCCCAGATCTTACAAGTCTACTGCGCATTTCAGATAGCAACATGCTTCCGTAGGTCAGTTCGGTATCAAAGAACTTTATGCATAAGCCAGATAAGAAGTGTAGGGCACGAAGATGATTGGTTGAACAGGCGTGGGTTCAACATTGAAGGAGTCTTGCTGTAAGCCACTTTGAAGAGGTTCTTAATTAACTCCTTAATCATCTTCCTGTAATGATCAGGTAGCTTAAGTTGCTCTCCTAGTTTTCAAAGCAACTTCCTGTTTGGAAGATCTAGGGGGAATTGAAACACGGACCATTTGCCACATGACAACAAAAAAACGGGTAATATGCTGAGGTTCTTCCCATGATATAACAAAAATTGTAACTGATTACAGCCTCTCACCCAGTTGAGGAGGAATGCATGTGTCACAAAGCACAAGTGCCAGTAAGCGTGATGTCACTTCCTAATCAGAGCTCACAGGGCATGTGGAAACCTATAGTCAGTTCTGTGGGGATGACGAAAGCTGGGAGTGCTCCCTTGGGGGAAGGAGTGGGTTAGCTCCCCAGACAGCTCACTCTTGCTGCTCTGTAGGACCAACGCCTTTCTCCTGCCCTCTCTCCCAGCTGGCAGAGGTGGCACTTTGCCTTCCACTGTCTCAGGTGACTCCTGCCATGGAGCCAACTCCTGTTCCTGGAGCACACAGGGGTCTTGGCAAACAGGACATAAGAGTGGGGTTTGTCACAAATCAATAGGTAGACAAGGTTCTTTGGGGGACTGCGGTATCTTTGACGAGACCAACTAAATCAACAGGCAGCCCAAAGCTGCAGGGAGATCAAGGAGGGGAAGCAACACAACAAGACCGCCATGAAGCTGGGGAGCTACGCAATGCCACCTTCACAGCAAATGATGCATCAGGCCACGGCCTAGGGAAGCTCTGGCCCCTTGGAGCTAGTCGGTCTCCAAGGTGCCACCTGGCCCCTTTCGCTGAAGGCAGGAAAAGGGATGGAAAGGAGGGGCCAGCGCCAAAGGGGGGCCGCCATGCACCCCACAGCAGTGAAAAGGGAGAGCAGTGGAACGGCAGCGCACCAGAGAGGCTGTTGGGGACACCACTGAGGGCCCCACAGCCCCGCCCTGCCCCTCAGAACCAGCAGGGAGCCCCGCCCCCTCCCCAACTGCCGGGCGAGGCCTCGCGCCGGGCCCCTCCCCCCCGCTGACCTCATGAGCGTCTCGAGAGCACTTTCGTGCTTGTCAAGGCAGCGGCCGAGTCTGCTGGATGAACTTGCATAGCGGCTTAGCCAGGTCTACTTCCGACGCCTTCTTCAGCTGCACCGAGATGAAGTTCGTCATGGTTGCTTCCTGAAGCGGCGCCCCAACACCACCACCCCCCCGGCGGCGCCGCTCGGTGGTCTCGTCCGAACGTTAGCAGCCGAGCGCTACTGCCCGCACTTCCGGGATCCGCTCGCGCCCTGACCTCAACGCGTCACGCGACCTCCCCCGCTCTGGCCCCGCCCGCTCTTTTACGTCATCGCCCCGCCTTCCTTTCTCCTGCCCAGCCCCAACCCCGCATCAGGCAGGGCGCCTGGGTTGAGGTGGCAGAGCAGCCTCAGCTGGCAGGAGATAAGGGCCCAATATAACACCAACCAATAATAAATATAAACTATATTATATTTATTATTATTAAAATATGTCTTATTTATATTAAAATAGTAAATAATAGTGATGATAATAATGATAATATAGCAATAACAACAAAAATGATCAATAATGATAGTAAAACCTGACTGCTAGCATGACTGGCAGCCTTCCTTCCCCACCCTGCCCCGTGGCTATTAAAAAAGGGAGAGGTGCTCTCAGGGGTGTAGGTTGTAGCCGTGTTGGTCTAAGCCAGGACATACGCAGACAAGGTTCTTTGAGTAAATCTGATCTCTTACTAGGCCAACTCAAACAGTTGGAAAAAAAATTTTGCACCTTTGAGAGGTGCTCTCAAGAGCTCAAGTTTGGAACCAACTCTAAACTTTTATGGAAACCCAAGTTCCTCCGTCCATCAAAATCTCACAAGCGTACATACAAATGTATATGTCCATCCTCTGTGAAACCCAGTCTCTCCATTGCATTTGCCATATGAGGCATGGCCTAGGCCCCTGTTACACATTTTATTGATTATGCAGTTTCTTGATGAATCATGCAATGCATTTCGACGGGGCACACATGCAAAGTAAGTATTGCACAATTAACTGGTCAATCCCACAATTTAGACTGGCCACATATGCAAAGCAATTATCACATCATAAAAATGACTCTCTGCCTAGAAAAAGAACCAACCAGCTACAAAGTTAGTGCTTGAAAATGTGTAACAAGGCAACAGAGTGAATATATCTTGCTTGTGAACCAAATGCAAGCTGTTTGGTTAATTCTAAAGCCCTTGTTCTCCCCCTGCCATCCTCTATGGCTTGCTTTCTGATCTTTTTGATGTTTACATTCAAGTAACATGTAGGAGGCTTCTCCATATCCAGATTTACACTGAAGTCAGCATCAGAGCACTTAAGGGGAGGGGGCCTCCTCCCTAAATGCCAGACCACATACAGAGGGCAGAGAAAGGAACCCAGGCTGTACACAGTGACCAAGGTAGAGGAGGAGTGCTACGTGGAGGCGTAGTGGCATGCAGGGCAATATACAGGTCAGGCAGCACAACCAGGAAACCGTGCACCTTCCTCCAGTAATTGCTGCTGCTGGCAATATGTGTATGCAGCAATAGAAGTCAATATCTGTATGCAGCAATATATGTATGCAACAAGTTGCAACAGGGTGCAACTTGAAGCTTTATGTTGTTGCAGACAGTGAAGAAGGAGGATGGAAAAGCAGTCTTCACCATTCTCTCGTATGTTTAAAACTGCCAAAACACCATATAATAAAACTACCAAGACTTTGGCACACAGGCTATGTCTGCGATTTTTCTTACTGATCATATTAACTATTATAAAGGTTTCAGAACAGGATCAGAATCCCCATTTCTGTATAGCAGGGGTGTCAACCATACAGCCTGTGGGCTAGATCCAGAGGCCTATGGGTCTCTGAAACCAACTCTATGTGCTGCATGGGGCACACATCAGCCCTAGCCCCATGTTGCATGCAGTGCACAGGCTGGACCTGGTACCGTGCATGCTCCACGCAGCGCAAGGAGTCAGCCCAGAATGTGAGCTGCATGCAGTGCCCCATCAGAACAGCCTTGTACGCTGGCTGCACTGCAGCCCAATCTGAACCAGTGTGTAGGGCCAGTCTGGCAGGGCACTGCATTCAGTCCATGCCCGGGACCACTCCACTGTGCTGCTTAAAGCACCAGGTCCAGCCTGCGCACCATGCGCAAACTGAGCCCCAGAGCGAAACCAGTGGCACGCAGGTTGGACTTAGCACTGTGGGTGCCACATGTAGCACAGGGGTTCAGTCCCAAACTGGCCGGAAAACCAGCCCAGAAACCGTCATCCAGGCCTGGATGAATTAGACAACCCTGAGCTATGGCAAAATATATGGGAGTAAGGAGGGTGTGGAGAACTTAGGAATCACATAGGATTCTTTACCTTTTCCTAGCCTCACTAGCAACTCAAATACAAATCTATACAATAACTATCAACATTTTTTTTGTTCAGAAAATGGGGAAATTCAATGATAAAGACAAAACAAAATACCTAAATTAGGGTTGCTTGGTGGTAGCTTGTTTTTCCATTATCCAACAAAGTAGGCTGTCACTTCCAAAAGGTTATGCCTCTTTAAACCAGTTGGTCTGTGCTACCCTATTCTGGCTTCTGCGTTATGTTTTCAAGAAATAGAAACTTTTATAAACTAGGAAATAAGGAATTAAGGTCTATGGAACCTTATTTTGCTCTCCTTGAACAATGCTTCCATCCAGCTGTAACATTCTGCTTTTGAACTGGAGCAATGTATTTCAACTGTACAACTAAAAACAGCCTCATCCACAAAAGAAAGAAAAAAATCTGCTTTTTACCTAACCCTAATCAATATTAAGAACACAGTGCCACCTGGCACTGGGTTTTAGCTTACTCATCATTAAACTTGTATTAAATCTTCTACCTGGGCTCCACTAATGACATCACTTACACAAAACAACGCTGAAATGAGGTATAGATATAGATATCTTTCCTTTGATCCTTCGTGTGGAATTAGGCAAAGGGGCATGGTCCTTGCTGATCTCTTGGTGTAACAATCATAGTACTACCAAATTGCTTCAAATAACTGTTCTACCATTTAATACAGCCACCTACCACAGTGAATGCAGTCATTCCTGTCAGCTGTTGTTAGCTTCAGATGGGCAGAGTTAAGGTTGTATGCATATGTACCTTAACTCTTCATTTCATAGTTATCAGAAATTTCGTGTTGCTGAACACAATGTTCTGGGAGGACCTGAGATACCAGTAGATAACTCTAATTGTCTATTACTTAATATGTTGTCATTTTGTGACCAAATAGAGGGTGATACTATCTTACATTTAGGCTACCTAACACTTTCCATTAAAATATATTACTGCAAAAACCCTCAGTCTCAGCCTTCCATTCCTCCACATGGGTCTGGATGGCCCCTACCTACTGTGGGAGGAGAGGGAGTGGATCTGTACTCCCACCTATACGTCCCCATTCCCAACTTCTAAGTGCATGACTTTACACCCTAAATTATTTGTGAGGGCTGGCAGGGGGTGGAGGGAGCACAGAATTATTAATTATTGTTACAGACAGATACAAGAGAATGGGCCTAATCTTGCTTCCTTTTAATTGAGAGGTTTAATGGGGATTCAGATAATTTATCATCCAAAAGGCTAATCCTGAAGATTCTTACAACGTGCCTTGTAGGTCTCCAGTATTTAGTTCTCCTGGGATAAGTGGGATTACTCACAGTAATCTGCTTTCTAGACTGAGTAGAAAATGCTCTAGGACTGAAACCTAAATGAAGATATGACCCAATAAAGAGAATAACATTGTCTTTTTTTTGCTCAAGTGAATAACCACTATTTAAGCCATTGCCTGCTTGGTTTTCCCTAGGTGGAGAAATTGAAATTAGTGGGCATTTACACAAATGATCAGAAGGCACTGGAGCCAGAAAGGTAAGCTACAGGAAAGGGGAGGGGAGCCCCAGGAGACTTTTTAAAGGCAACAGTGGGTGGCCAGCATACTCTGGGAAGCAGGTAGGGTGTGCCCAGCTGCCTCTGAGTGTCACAGATAAAGGACAATAGAAATTCACCATCCAGGGGGAAGGGCATTATCACAATCTGGAGATGACTGCTGGAAGCCCCTGGAAGGGTGGAGACAGAGCTGTCCCTAGGGGTGTGCCGGGCCCAGGACGTATCAGCCTCTGTGGGGCCGGGGTGGGGGGTTGGCGAGCAGCTGGAGCTGGCGGAGCAGGGTGTTGGGGGGGCAGCAAGTGGCCAAAGCTGGCAGTGCTTGGCAGCGTCAGAGCCAGCGGCACTCAGCAGCAGTGGCGTGTGGCAGCCACAGCAGGGCCTGTACAGTACTGTCCATGGGGCCCCCCCAAAGCACAGGGCCTGGGTCAGTCACCCCAATTTGCACCCCCCCAGGGATGCCCCTGGGTGGAAGTCATGGAGGTGTCCTGACCATAAAGCCCCTGGTCAGAACAGAGCCCCTGGTCACACAGTTGCAGGCAGAGGGGCAGATACGCACTTGGACCCACACCTTTGTAAGTCCTCCACTTCTTCCAGCCATCCTGCCTGCCTGGCACTCTATCAGGTGTCTGGTCATCCCTGCTGACTCCCAGGTACTCTTCCAGCCTGCCTGTCACTCTAGCAGTCAGACTCTCACCCAGCCATGGATGCTGAGACCCCACGAGCACTACTGTTGACCATGGACAGACTAGCTCCTTCCTTCTCCAGAAACCAAAACCATGGACACAACTAGAAGTACAGGGAAATTAGGAATCTCATTGCCACCTGGGACAAGGAGGTGATCCAGTACCAGCTACAGAAAGGGCATTGCAACAGAGATACCTTTAAGCACATCACCCTTCAGATGCAGGCCCAAGGCCACAACAGGAACTCATTGCAATACCATGCCAATACCAAATTGATGAGAAGTCATTTTAACAGTGTATATCGGGGCGGGCATTTATTTTGGGCAGAGGGCAACTTACCAAGTTATGGCAAGCTGTCAAGATCCACATGGGTAGCCCCACCCCTTGACAGGTACCACGCCCCCTGGATGACATCTTGGGACCAGAAGTCCCACCCCCTAATCCCCGACCTTTGCCACCAGAAGTCCCTCCCCTTGCCCCCAGAAGTACTCCTTTCAGCAAGGGGTTTTGCCATCTCAGAACAAGAAAAATACTAAATTATATTCTAAAAAGCAAACATCTACAACATTCATTAATTTGATTTTAAAAAAATTTTTTATCCTGATTTACACTCGTTTGTGTAGTGTACACAGAGGTGATTGCACAATAGTTTAAAATGAAATCTTACTCTTGTATACTGTGGGGGGG